ATTCTAAATGCCCAGATGAAAGAGTCACAATTCAAAGGGGGGGCTCAAGATTACTTATTTTTCCTATTGAGTGAAAGGTCAGTAATTTGTCCAGACAGACAGAAAAACGTCCTTAGTTTTGTTCAATATGTCCTGCACATCCTTATATGATCTACAGATAGTCCTCACTTAATGTCCATTCATTCAGTGACCACTGAAAGTATGATGGTGCTGAATGAAGGGACTTATGACTGGTCCTTGAAGTTCCAGCTGTTGTAGTGCCCCTGCAGTCATGTGAATAAAATTTGGGCCCATTTGGGCCCACCCACATTTACGATTGCCTTTTGGCCATCCTCCTACCTACTGCTGCCAGCTGCCCTGCCACCCGGCCCTGCCCGCCACTGCTGCACCTACTGCACCATGCTGCTACTGTACCAGCCAGGGCCGCCTTTTGCACCACCTTCTTATGCACTCGTGCAAAGAAGGCCCTGGGCGGGGCACGAATGGAGGCTCTGGCTGGCATGCGTGAGAAGCCCTAGCTTCACCAGCACAAAAGAAGGCCCCAGCTGTTATAATAATGGCGTGCAGTGCAGTGGATGCAGTAGCAGTGGGCAGGGCTGGGTGGAGGGGGCAGTTGGCAGCAGCAGGTAGGTGGGCAGCCAAAAGGGCCAGATGAGGGGGGAGATAGGCAGATGTGGGGAGTTCAATAGGAGGCAGTTCCTTACCTTACTGAAGCTCGGGGCTGGGGGGGACCAAGCCAGGAACGGCTTGGATTGGGGTGGGTTCTTGCCTAATGACCAATGGGATTCGGTTAAAAGGGACAACGGGGAGTGCTGAGATTTCCGTCACTAAGTGATGCAGTCTACGACCGCATTGCTTAGTGATGCAAATTCCAGTCCCAATTATTGTCATTAACTGAGGAGTACCTGTATTGCTATAGCTGTTGACTTAGCTTTAGAATAATCATTGATGCTGAATGGCATCCATTTACTGCAGTCTGGATAGCAGGCTTTCTCTAATGAAAATGGCCTGTTTGTTTAGAATGTGGTCAGTATCATTAGAAGAATGAATGATCAAAAGCATCATTCTGTTAATTGGTACCATGATTCCACAGGTGAAAACTGCAGAATAGTCTCGACCTTATATCCATGTGGTGTGTTTAAGGTTCAGATCCCTTTTGAGGCCAGCTACAGCTTTCCAGTTGATTTCTGTAAAGCCAGGTTGCAGCTAGTGTACCGTAAAAGGCAAGGCAATAGATTATGAATAGTATTGCAAGCAGTGAACTTCAGTCCAGATATCATTATCTTTGGTGCCCTGATGTTTACTCTGTAGGGAATATAACTGTCTCCTTTTATGCAGAAGCCTTGAAGCAGAGATGTAATTACATTTACTTTCATGCCCCAAACTTAATTGCTTTAGAACAGGGAGTTGCTTTTAAAAAGGTAATTATTCTACAGTTTGTTTTGAAGAGCCGTTCTTTATTAATCAGTTTTTAATTCTGTTATCTCATAAATGTATTTTGGAGCTGGACGTAATCATCATATATCTTGTCTTTACCTTGGTTTCTCATTTACAAATGACATTCAGCAAGCAATGATCTACTTCTGAACAGTGGTTTTCGTCCCTTTCTTGTTACTGGTGTAATTACTGTCTAATATGTATGTTGACATGTCTGTTGTATTAAAATTTTATGGAATTCTTTTATAACTAATGCAGCATAAATACAAAATATGCAGTCAAACCCGGTGATGATGATTGCCTTTTGAAATCATTTCTTCTAACTCTGCATTCATTATTGTACAAAAATGCAACAATTTTTTTAAAAAAGAAGGAAAGCATGTATGTAGAAGAAAGCTATTAAAATAAGCTTCTCTCTGAAATAATCTTTCTATTTGTTTTGGCTGAGTTTAGATCCAACCCAAAAGGTTTATTTAGTAAGGATTATTGTGCATTACTGGTGTGGCTGGTGACAATGGATTGCAGACCAAAACCGGTACAGAGGAGAAACCTGGTTGCCTGGTTATCAGGGCTACACGGGGCCTTACAAAGCAGGGTTATACTCCCAGAGAGATAACACGAAGCTACCATGTGGGTCAGCCTTCAGACTTGCTACAATGTGCATGTTAAATCTCAAGAGAGATCCACAGGAATTGTGAAAACTGGCAGCGGGAACCGTATCTTCCTTTTTAGACATTCTCCCCATGGACTGTTTGAGCTGATCAGATTTGGCAACAGTTAACTCTCTACTTGGTTACATCCCATCTTGGGTCTTATAATACACTCTATATGCAACTACTTTTGAAAAGTATCCAGAAGTTGCAACTGACTTAAACTGTAGTAGCTAAGTTTCTTACTAGTAGAAGATACATGGATCGTATGTCTATATTAAAAGATCTGCACTGGTTGACAGTTGCTCACAGGACCTTATTTAAGATACTGATATCAACCGTTAAAGACCTAAATGGCTTAGACTATCTGACTATCTAAGGCAGTGTTGTCCAAACTTGGCCACTTTAAGGTGAGTGGACTTCAACTCCCAGAATT